CATAAACATTTGTAACACAACAATTCTTTTATAAACAGAGCATAGCTCGTACCTTGACAGGATTAAACTGACACAAATAGAAGATAAACACTAAACAATTCCACATTGAAGAAAGCACTAAGCCAAAAAGAAGGGTAGACAGAAAGCTTGCTTGAAGACAGTTTGGCGACAGAGTTTCATTATTCTCAGGACACAGAGCAACGTCTTTGGTCTTTCATTGAACACGATTTTCTAATCCAGATAGTTCTTCAAATTGAGCCAAAACAAAATCCACAAAAATCAAAAAATAAATTAGATTAAATCACTTTTAGCCAAATCCGGGAAGAGAAAAAGCAGAGATTGAATATTAAAATTTAGAACCAGGTCCTTTTATGCTGACACTGTGCAATTCAACCTGAATTCCCATGAATCGTACATATGAAAAAGGGGACCATAAAAAGACCCCATGAAAATCTGGAACAGGCCGGAATAGAAACGTGAACGTATGGGGAAAAAAAAGGGTTTATATGCAATCACCATGAAAAATTCACAGGGATAAAAAAAGGATTGCAAGGGCACCAGGAACAGTTAATGTCAAGGTTCAGTATCGGCAGACCTTATATTAAACACCTAACAATCAATTTTAAGCAGGAACAATTTTTTCCAAAGAAAAAATGCGATGCAACAACATCGACCATCAACAAGTGGCATGCTTTCACTATTATGATACTACTCAGATATCAGAGTTCTTCAAGAAATAGCAATTCATGAACACAAGTAAATGGCAGCTGGGATTACCCTATCAACTAGGATTACAATTTGACCCAATTCTAGACTAAATTCCGAGTATGTTTGATTTAATTTGGCTAGATGATTGCAATGAGACAGGTCTTCTACATTGGCCCGTTAAAAAATCAACAAACGAAATCCAATGGAAAATAATTAAACCATAATATTGCCAACAGAGGAATTTTTCAGTGGGAACATAGCTGCGGAACCTTAAAAAGAGAGAGAGAGAGTTGTGAAGGGCTCAATTTCAATTACTTAAAATTAGTACCTGGGACGCTGCCTCCTAAGGTTCTGCAACGCCGTTGTTCTGTTTTTCAGTTATTCCCGGAATCTGGGGTGGGTCGGAGCTGAGGTGAGAAATGGGTGAATTATAGCTGAAGAAGGATGGGATTAGGGTGCGTAGGAAATTAAAATCGTACGTGTGAGTTTGACTTTGTTTTTTTTTTTCGAAAATTGTACCTGCATAGATTAATTAAAGGAGTTTACTGTGTTACATTTAGCTAGATTATATGCTATATTATGCATCTCAACTACATCATCTCAGGAGACTTTAGTTATAGAAAAGGAAAAGAACAACTTGGAAAAGGTTATAATATCAGCAATAAATTCATGAACTTCAACCGGTGATTGTTCGGGAATTAAGTTGTTTGCCAAGAACTCACAGTCCGTGAGCACACGGATGCGGTGGATGTCCGTGCCTGCAGTTTCTTGTATGGCATACAGCAGTGTCTGGGCTTCAGCTTGTAGGGGAGTAAGTGCATGAAATTTCCGTGATTTAATTTGCTGAATAATCCCATGCTCTGTGGTAATTTTCCATGCTCCTGCGGCTTGTAGTGATACCGGAAGGAAAGATCCATCTAGCATGAGTGTGTGTCCTCGTGAGGCTATGTGGAGTTCATCCATTTTTGTGATCTCCTCTGTTTGGATCAGATTGCCCCCATTTCGGTTCCATTCTTTCATACAGAGATTGAGGTGCAGGTTGTAGTCTTGTGTTATTGTATTCCACATCCTTGTACAAGCACCCTGTCGGTCTCCCTATTGTGGACGCCAGACTTGATCGTTTCGGTTCTTCCAAATTTCCCAGAGGACAGAGATGGACAACTCGATTGCCATCACATCAGGAGCCATTTTGATCCATTCCAGAAACCAATCTTTGAAGGGGATGGCATGACCTGTGTCGAAATTAAAGCCTAAGCTCGTGATTCTCCAAAGCCTCCTTGAGGATGGGCATTCCAGGAATAGGTCTGAAACATCTTCTGATTGCAACTGACATCTCGGACATAAATCCTCTTCTATAATGCCTCTTTTCAGCAGGCCTTGTTTTGTTAGAAGTGCATTATGAATCCCTCTCCAAACAAAGAGTTTTATTTTTGGAGGTATCCTAGTTTTCCATAACAGTTTCCAAGCAGTCTTCTCTTGATGTATGGCGCTGAAATCCAGAGGGTATGCTTTATTAAAAGCTACTTTATAGCCCGATTTAACCGTGTAGATGCCATGCTCCGTTTCTGTCCAAAGTAGGTTATCTTTCTCCGCTCTCCGCGTTGGATCAATATGGATTCCCTGGATTAGAGGCAATATCATGGGGGGAAGATCTTTCTAAGCAATGATGCCTTCCAGGATCCATTTGCATTAATCAGGTTGGCAACTCTTAGATTCGTGTGTGTTGCCAGCATGGAATCACTAGCAATTGGATTGTCCCTCAATGGGATCCAGTTATCACTGATCTTAATGCTGTTTCCAGAGACTACTTTCCACCTGAGCTTCCCCTTTAATAACTCATAGCCCCATAGGATGCTTCGGAATCCCCATGACATGGGAGTACCTTTTTCTGGGACTCTAAAATTTTTTCCTCTGCAATATTTACCACGGAAGAAACGTGATATGAGAGAATTTGGAGTAGAGAGTATTTTCCAAGCATGTTTAGCAAGTAGTGCTTGATTAAATTCCTCCGTCGATTTGAGTCCTTGTCCTCCATGCAATGTCAGTTTACACACTTTATCCCATGATCTCCAAGTTATGCCTCGGCTTTCCTTATCACCACACCAAATGAATGTACCTAAGATCTGGTTTGCCTTTTTCAAGGTATTCTTGGGCAATTTGAAAACTCCCATAGGGTATACTAGCATTGACGAGAGCGTCGACTTGGCTAAGGTGACTCTTCCTGGCAAAGATAACAGCTTAGTCTTCCAATCCCCCAATTTGTTGCTTAGCTTACCTGTAAACTGCGCAAAAATGAGTCTCTTCTTTTCCTCAAAATCCAGATTCATCCCTAGGTACTTGCTGTGGAAATTAGCAGATTGAATACCCAGTATTTGGTGTAGTAGATCCTTCTGTTCTTGTGGAGTATTCTGACTCAATAGAATTGAGGACTTGGAATGGTTAAGTTTTTGTCCCGATAGTCTAGCATATTGGGAAATCACATGAGCCAAAGCTTTGACAGATGATTCTTTACATTCAAGAAAGAATAGGCTGTCATCGGCGTACATCAGATGACTTATTCTTGGGGTTGCTCTTCCCACCTTAATGCCGAGTCCAGGGAGTTTCCTGATTTCTGCCCTTATAGCCGATGATAATGTCTGCTGGCTAAGGATAAACAGATATGGTGAGAGTGAAGATCCTTGTCTGAGTCCTCTATTTGGGTGGAAATAGGCAGAATTCTCTCCATTAAATAAGATTGAGTAGGATACTGTAATAACACAGTGCATGATCAATCGAACCAACTGGGCAGGAAAACCTAATTTGGTTAAAACCGCTTTGAGGAATGTCCATGATACTCTGTCATATGCTTTACTCATATCCACCTTAATTGCTGCTACACCTATTTTGCCTTTCCTCTTTTTGATGTACTCCACTACTTCATGTACAATGAGGATATTCTCACTAATATTCCTGTCAGGCACAAAACCATTCTGATGATCATCTATCAGATCATTCATGACCGCCTTAAATCGTGCTGTAATTATCTTGGCGATGATCTTGTACTTGACATTGTGAGTTTGAGTTTGACATAAGTTAAAAACGTAAAGGTATTGAACTATTGATAGAAAAAACTAAATCTTATGGATAAAAACGTAAAGGTATGTAAACACTAAAATTGAATTGCTTTTCGCAGTTCAAAAATTACTCACATGCAGTTCATTTTTTACAATTTTACTTCTGAATTATTTTCTTTCTTCTTTCTTCTTTTCCTTCCCCATCTCTTCTTCTTCTTTCTCTTTTATTCTTTTTTTTCTTCTCCTTCCTCCTCTCTTCTTTTTCTTCAAATCTAGATCTACTAATAATCGGACACCAAAAAAATGGCGAGCGCGGCCGTCAACAATGTGAAAGCTCACTATCGATGCCGATAACTTTTTTTTTTCCAAATTCTATTTTAAAAAAAAAATTTAAAAAGGTTGTTGCCCAGGCTGGCCGACCCGTACGGTGGCCAGCCCAGAAATCTTGACCGGATTTCTCACCGGCCATAGGATATGGATTGGCCTGGTCAGGGACCGGCCAATCCTTGAAGAATGACCGGCCATCTAGTCGGCCACTCTTCAAAGATTGGCCGGTCCCTGACCTAGCCAATCCACATCCCTTGGCCGGTGAGAAATCCGGTCAAGGTTCTCGGGCTGGCCACCATTCGGGTCGGCCAGCCAGGGTAGTTTTTTTTTTTTTAATTTTTTTTGTTGTAATTTTTTTATAATTATTTTAGTTAAATTATTTATAATTAATGTAATTAGTTGTTGAATGTTGTGTTATTAGTTGTAATTAATTTAATTAGATTTGTATTAATTTATAAAGAAAGGAAAAATTTTAATTAGTTTTGTAATTAATTTAATTATATTTGAATCTATGGAGTATATTTTTAACAACTAATATGTATAATTAATTTAATTGAATTTATTTTAATTTATATTTGAATCTGTAGGTTTAGGTATAATGTAATATGTATAATTAATTTAATTGAATTTATTTTAATTTATATTCCATTAGGTAAATTAATTTAATTGAATTTATTTTAATTTCTATTTGAATAATTATGGTAATGGTATATTTATATATAATATTTAATGTAGGTTAAAAGGATAAATTAATTAGGTATAATTCATTTAATTGAATTTATTTTAATTTCTATTTTGATTATTATAGTGGAGTAGTTATATATATTCATTAATGTAGGTTCAAAGGGGGAAAAAAAAAAAGGGCCAGATGTACCTGATTCTTCATTGTTGCTTGAGTCGGGTACACGGGACATGCATGGTCGAGTTATTTCTGTCTCATATCATCGTGGGAGTCCAGCTGGGCATAAGTCAAAGGATGTGTCGCAAATGGGTCAGATCGGTAGTAGTGTGGGACTTGACGATGTATTTGATCATGTCAGTTTGGACTTACAGAATGTGAGTGACAATGATGATGTCCCGACTGAAGATATCGACTCGGAAGGGTTTAATGATTTCGTAGGTGACTCACCTCCACATTCACCTCCACATTCATCTCCAGCTAGACGAATCAATGTTATTCGTCTTAGGGTTAGAGGACTTGGAGCTGCATCTGCATCTGCATCATCATCAGCAGGTAAGAAATTAGTGTATGGGGTTTATATTTTACATTTTAGTAGTTAAGTTTTTTCAAATATTTTATTGGGAAAAAATTGAATGATTTGTTTACGTTAATTTCAGCGAGTAATGCCCAGCCTTGGGTTGTCATGAGACCAGTTGTTGATGGCCCTCATGACGGTTCTGTTATTCCCAGTTTTCTTGGTCATGTGGCCCATCGCTTGATGGATAAGTCGTACAAACCCTCCTTGGAGATGGATACAAGAGTCACATACTTCAAGTTGTTGAAAGAATGGAAGGGTTCTATGTCGACTGAGGCTCAGATCTTGTTGGTTGGTACAGGGCTATCCCACATCGTGGATATCATGCACACTAACATTGATAAGGCATTGATTACAACATTTGTAGAGAGGTGGCAGCTGGACACCAATACATTTCACATTTCTTTTGGGGAGATGACCATCATGTGACACGACGTGCGACAGATATTGGATATTCCTGTTGAAGGTAGATTGATTACAACACAACCTAGGACTGTCGATTGTAAGACTTTGGTCATGAGGGTGTTGAGAATGACTAGCCAGATGCTACAGACTAGTAAAGTAATCCACGGTGGAGGGGTTCAGTTGGGCCTTGTTGCAAAGACAGGCCGAGCGGTAGCGCTTGCTTTAGATTAGGTGACCGCCTGGTTATGGGTCATGTTAGGGAACACGTTGTTTACTGACAGGAGTGGAACTCGGATTAGAGCGATGATTCTCTCCAAGTTTATTGATGGCCTAGTCACCTGTGGCAATATTTCTTGGGGGTCTGCTACTCTAGCCTATCTCTCCCGTCAGCTAGGCATGTCCACCAGATTGAAAAATGCCTTAATGTCTGGTTGCTACACACTACTTCAGGCGTGGATATATGTGTACTTTCCATGTTTCAGACTACCTCGGGGCATTCCCTTTGAGGCTCCTGACCGACCATGAGCTAGATGGTGGAATGTCCTAAATCCTGATAACAGTCCAGATCGTCTGATGCACCTTCACAGCCAGATCGACAAGCTAACACCCGATCAAGTACGTCACTTTTCCCACTTTTAATTAATAATAGTTATGCAAAATAATGTTATTAACGTATCTTATACCTCTTATGGCCCCGATCCTGTTTCTGATGATCCAAGGACCATATACAGTGGTTGGATACAGTACCGAGATATTATTGAGCCATACTTGCCTAGTCGAGTATTGCGTCAGATTGGATACATCCAGGTCATCCCTCCACCTATTCCTCATCCCCTGAGTGCAAATCGTAGTGGTAATCACCACGCCTACAAGGTTTCATGGAGGCCCACTGAGGCGTTTGATGTTTGGATGCAATTCCCATTCAGTACCGGGCTAGATTTAGAGTATTTTGAGCAGAGTGATCATGATAAAACTGCATGCGCTCCTAATTACCTCCAGTGGTACTTGAAATATTCGCATCCTTTCTTGGTTTTAGATGCCACTACTATAGGTGGAGTTAGAACCACATCACACGTAAGTCTTTATTGCATAACCATTTCTTGAAATGTTTATACAATATATTATTGATTGTGTAATTTTTTATTTATTTATTTATTTTGCAGTGGGTCAACCAATTGTCCGAAATTCATAGAAACGCACTTGAGACAATCCGCGAAATTGATGCAGAGAGAGTAAAGGAGCATAAGGCATTCTTTGCTCAATTTCAGGATGATTTCCGATTGAGCCATAGAGATTGATGTGTATTTTATTAGGATGTGTTACTTCTTCCCATTTCAGAATGTTATGTTATGTGTTACTTCTTAAATTTCTTCCCAATTTCAGAATGTTATGTTATGTGTTTTAATTTGCAATGGAACATATGAAATTTAAATAACTAGTTTTAACAATTTAAATAAATGTTATGTAACTACTAACTAGATCTAGATAGTCTATTCTATTCTGTTATCGTAGAGTGGTACTCATCTTCCCAACCTACAACATTGTTGGTACGCCACCTAAACCAATAAGGATGTACATGAGGTACAAGAAAATCACTACAGAAATCAACACAAATGTAATGATCTACACAGCCGAGGTGAACAAGCACAATCTCACGAGTTAGTCTTTCGGCGTCTCTACGATCAATAAGGGGCAACACTGTTAAACAATAAAAACCCAGATCCCCGTCTAATGTATTCCTGAGACCGTACAGAAAAACTGCAACATTCCAGATAGTAGCAATCGCGTACAAGTCTTGTGTGCATTCCATATAATGGGGCGGAAGGCATCCACCTACCAGCCACCTTAACCGCCGTATGTTTTGTTCCCTATTGTAGTAATACGGAGGATCATATAAATCCGGCCATTCCAGATAGTAGCAATCGCGTACAAGTCTTGCGTGCATTCCATATAATGGGGCGGAAGGCATCCACCTACCAGCCACCTTAACCGCCGTATGTTTTGTTCCCTGTTATAGTAATACAGAGGATCATATAAATCTGGCCATTTAATAAGATCTTGAATAATGGTTGTTCGGACCAATGGCCAATCCTGTTCTGAATTTCGAACATACTTTGCTACACATCGGAATCCACAGTTCCTATCCCCTCACATTAAGGTACCCCCGAGTGAAGGGAACCATAAAAGACGGAATAAATTGCTGATATTGATATGAATGAAAATCCGTCCTCCAACCTCTTTGCTCACCTAAAAAACAATATTCACGTTATGTACATTGCCGAAATAAAATGTTTAAAAATAAAATGTGACATCAAAAAAAAAAAATTCAAAACATTCTTACGACTATCATCGTATATAGGTGAGGATGTGCTCATGCGCGATCTCCCTGAACCAACAGTATACTTCTCCTAATAACACCGTTTCCGCGGGATATTCGCTTCCGGGCGCCCTTTAACACTTGTCTTCACTGCAGGTTCCTCGAAACTCATCTGATTATGGTGTTGCTCTTGTTCCTCGAAACTCAGCTACTCATGGTATTCCTCTTCTTCCAGCTCATGGTGCAGAAACTCATTGACGCGGCTCAAAAATTCAGGCCTCTTGTTGAATGCTTTAAGGGAAAGCTTTGTAAAAATCGTATGCTCTTCTGACACAAAGATTGAGCATCATCAGTTGGGGCCGAATCAGGTGTAGCACTTGTAAAATTAAGTCTGTACCAAAAAAGGTGGAGGTCGGCAACTATAATGGGCACCTGCAACTCCCTTTTCTGTTTAAGCTCACATGCACAAGGGATTTCATGGGTCGTTGTCAACACACAACCACAAACATCATCCTCACCCAATTGTTGCATGCGAATATACTCACTTTGAAGAATGTCCAAACAGTAATGTGAAACATGTCTAACTAGACGGCCATAAGGAAACTGAAGGAAGGGTATGCAACGAAGAAAAAGAAGAATTTAGTAATCAGACCACGTAGAACAACGTTGTACACAAAAGAAGCGCTTTAGAGGATATAATTATTCATCAAAGTTATTTACTCCCTCTGTCCCAAAATTATTGTCCAGTTTGATATTTCATTTTTAGTACAATTTGAACTAGAAATGAAAATTCAAACTGGACAATAATTATGGGACGGAGGGAGTACTATATTTGGTACATTCTGTACATTAAAATACTGTCCCCATACTGAAGTTGTTCGATTGCGAAATATTATTTCCTGATTTTTAAACAAGATATAATATGTGAATATGTGCAACTGCGTTGATGGAAAGGAGTCATTTGTGTTTATGCGTCGATAATATGTGAATCGATCGTTTCCTGAACTTACAACTGCAAGTCGATTAGAGCTGGTGGAAATGAGTTTATCTATGTTAGAAATTAGAGATAACTTCAAAGAAAGAATGAATCAGTTGTTTCGATATACAAATAAAATTAAGCTTCAGAAAAGGTCTTCGACGTCGTGAAGAGCAATCTATTTTCCTTCTAGATGCTAGAAATTTGCAGGCATAGTCTGAATAGGTTCCAACAAAATTTGGCACAAAACACTTATTTCCAGTCAATACAGAATGCATAAAGGGAAAGTGCCATTTGTACTAACAATGAAGAATTGAAACATAACAATCATTTTGGAATGTACATAACATAATAAAAAGATTCAAACTATGTTATATTAAACATCAATCAGCAACACTTAAAAGAGTTTTCGGCGTCGTTATCAAAAAGTCATCAACCAATGGTCAAGCTTTCTCATACATGAAGGGCAAGCAAGCAAAAGTATGCACTCTAAACTTACTTTCCCTATTCACACCTTGTAAGAGATAAGAATGTGTAAAAGTTCAAATCAATCAAACAAAACTATAAATTACTAATATGATATCATAAAATCCCTTGTCAACCATTTCACACATCAGCAAGCTAAACCATACATGCATTTTAATGTCATTGAGTAAATTAAAATCAGTTGAGGATGAAACGATGATCTCCATGGTACAAATTTTAGCGGGAAAAAAAAAAAAAGCAATCAAATGAAGTTAAAGAAGATGCATAACTACGAGACATATGAAACTTGCTGGAGATGCTCAGTAAATCAAGAAAAACAAGAGCTTCCATGGCTGACCTATCAGAGACTGCTTGAAAAGTAAATATTTTAGGCTCTTAACGAACGCAAAACAAGTTTTGTGTTCTTAAAATACTCTGAATTGTATTGTGATCTCTCTAACAATATGTTTTTATACTAGTAGTTTATTATTGTTTTCTTCCACCTTCATCAACCACCAGTGGCCCTCACTGGACACTGCCAACCGGCGGTGATCAGCCCGCCAAATTCTCGGTCCAAAATTTGACCGGTCAGTCGTGGTGGTGGTCAGTGGTGGCCAATAATAGTTGCCGAAAATTTATTTTGAGTTTAAAATATTTTTAAAATTAATTTCAAAACTTAACTTGAAACCTATCTCAAACATATAAAGACAACAAAAGCACAGAATATAAATCTAAATAACAATCCAAATGGGACGTTAAGATAATAGTTTTAGGACAGTAAAAGCACTAAATCTTGCGTCTAAACCTTTTAACTTGTAAATTAATTTTGTAAAGCTTATAAAATCAACTCATTTAGATGTATGTAATCTACAGAGAATTTCATTTTTAATTCCCATCTTTCTTTAAATTTGATACGCAATGTTTTAGAAGGACAAGCTCGGTACTCACTTATTTTACAGTGCTCAGGCCCCCACTTCTCACGCCCAACAATTCAGAAAAGACTATGAACCTATCTTCTTCCCAAAAGTAAGTTCTTCATTTTTCAAAGAAATTTATACATAGCTATATATAAAGAATTGTAAATTGTATAAACATATAATTAGAACTCTTAAATGGTACCCCACATAAGAGAATTACTCTTTGTTGTAAAAAATAATGAACTTTAGAATTGTTTACGGTTCAATAAATAGCAGATTGCACAACTACTAAGATTCACTCAGCTAAAAAGAAAAAAAAAAAAAAAAAAGGAACAATGCAGCATTTTCTTTCGTTGAAGTCTAAAATTACATTTTTGCCAAATGTAATTGTCTAATACTTAAACATATATAAGTTTTAGACCTGATCCACCTCCCCTTGGGCAACCAGTGATTGTCACTTGCAACACCATTTTCCTACTATCATAAGAACATGATGGTACGGTAATTATGCAATGCCTCTACTCTCTTTTCCTAATCTAATAGTAAACAGACTTTAAATTTGTATTATCATCACCAAAAAAGCAAAAAGCCATAAAAAGAAAGAAAAAGAAAAAAGAAGTTTTTTCAGTGAGCAGAATACTTTACAATCATTTCAAATACTCGCACCATTGTATTCATTCTGTAGATTGATAATATAAATAAGCAGATCCGCTCTTTTTGTATTTGATTTTTTAAGAAAACAATTATACAAATAGTAACACCAGACATTGATTTTTTGCCAATCCATACATTCTCATTCTACAAGTATATAACATATTGACCACATGTATACATATACCTATATACAAAAAATTCAGTAAATCAGGATCTTCGCTTAACTATCGGAACCAAACTGAATCAGGTCTTCTATCTAATCCACCAAAACCGTCAATTATTTTAAGTGCTCCGACAATTGTATCTGGGTGGGTTGAACTATAAACATCCTACATAAACTCCTCTGAGGACATATTGCTCAAAATCCTACAAATGCATTTGCTTTGAATTCATCGAAAATATCGGTAAGGGAAAGAGATTTAATAAGGGTCCTGATCACTTTCACAACATATTTCATGCAAACACGAGGCCATAGAGGTTTAAGAACATATGTAGTCCCCAAAATTAGTAACCCCTCCAGCAGACCCTACTGTGAGGTAAGATATATGCATCACCAGGAAATAACAAAATACATAATACAACGACACGCAACACACAAAGCTAGAAATATTTGCCAATGGTTTCTGCAGCCAATGGACTGAAGTCTCTACATCAATGGCTGCATAGAGTAGACAAATCCAAGTATCTTTCTACATACATTCTCATCATAAAGTTAAATCATATCTCACCTGAAACTCCCCAGCTTAACTGATTATTTCTCATGTGCGTCAACCATTTCAGTAACTTGCTCTTTTATAACATTGAGCATGGGACACATTCTGGTGGGATACCAAGCACTACCTGTCATCAGAAACGAAGTATGCATTACAAATAATCCACACCAACGCAAAGTGACACCAATCCACTCTCATCCCAAACAAAGAAGTAAACCAGAAGTGTCAAAGCTGCCTCTTCCTCTTCCCTCCCACTCTCACTTCTTTTACTGGCTTCTAAAACAGTTAAATCCTCACTAACAGGTCCCAACCAGACTGACTTTTGAAACCAACTGATAAAATTGTCCTTTCTCCTTTACACCAGGACATAAGCAAGCAGAATTTTCATCAGAAAAGTCCAATTTTGGAGAAGAAACAGTGCAAACTGCAAACGCCTAACAAAGATCTCAAGTGTTAAAAAAATCAAGTCAAATAAGCAGTAGTTATCCTTTTTGGAAACCAACACCCTGAATCCTCCAAGACCAGGCAATCAGGTTAGGGAATAAGAAGTTCATTTAATTCACCCATTGTCGTCAGGAAGTATACAGGTAAATTATAAAAGGGAACTTATATTAATGAACGACTGTTAAAGTGAAGTTAAAATTAATTAAATAACCTCAGGAAGACTTGTTCTGTAAAATAACAAGTTACAAGGTCATCATCAATGATCAACCCCAAAACAATCTTATATTAAACAGAAAAGAGATAGCAATTCTGAAAGTTTTGCAGCTAAATCTTCTTCTCAGTAGACACACCATTCTCAACTCTGGCATCAACGCCGTGATATGGCACTTCAATCATTGGTCTTGGTAGCGCACGCCCACCAAGGTCATCAGGAAAAAACTCAAAATGAGGTCCGAAATTGAATTTAACAGTGCAATTGGGCTGGTTTGGTAGAGTATACATTGAAGCAGCAGGGAAATAACGACCCCCGTATAGATCACTAAAAGCAGTGCCTTGACATACTCCATTTTTAAAGAATGATATCTCACTTCCTGAAAGACAGAAAAACTAAAATTTAGAGTGTTTCACCAAATTTTAACACATAAAGAGGTGTGATAGCTACATACACAGGGCACCGTCTACTAATTCTCCAATTTCCAGATCAGTAGTAACTCAAATATCAGGCAGTAATGGTGGGAACCACCAGAGAAAATCTACGTGAATCGGTGTCATAAAAATGCACGTGAGCAAAGTTTTAACAAATACTTCTGGATTTATAGATCTAGGCATATATAGATGGAAAGTAGCTATCATATAAAAATCAGTTAATTTGAATTGAGAATTTGGAAAGTTCTGGGAAGAGAAGGGTCCACAAAAGAGATAAAGAGGGTTGTGCTCATTTCTACATGTTAATTGAGAAAAAATTATATTTTCATCTCATCATCAATAACATGCAGTGATCAACCATATAAATGTTTCAGAAATTACAAATATTTCAACCATTTTAGTGAAAATAATCAGTAGTATAGTTATAGAACTTCTAACAAGGTTTATCAGACTAAGGGAAAACATATTGGCGAACATGTTTCTCGAGTTCAGCAGGTTGAGATGACTTTCCTGCTCACTCAAAAATTAAAAACAGTGAGGAAATCCAACAAAGCATATGACAAATTCTGCATTTTCCACCGTCCAATTGATAAGCAAATGAATAAAATTAAAAAGAAAAAAAAAATTCACAAATGGGTACCTTAACCACAAATATCACATCTTTTAACAACAAAAACATGAATATATCCCACAGAATTATCCACATCAAAGATTCTGATTACTGATGGAAGAAAAGTAAATTACTACATAATCTATCAGAACAAAATAAAAACCTAAAAGAAAAGGAGAGAGGGAAGAAAAAGGAGAGGGGAAGAGGGGCGGGGGGTGTTGGGGATGTGGTTCGGCGAGGGGGTTGGTGTTGGAGGGAGGGAGAGAATGTAGGCAACCAACATATTTCCAGTCAACCAAACTATAGGCCTGTGAACGCGTCTCCACAACTATGAAAAAGATAAATAACACAAGCCAGCAGGCTACAGCAATATTCTGCAAGATCATTTAGAAGATATGGATAACATCTTCGTGCCAGAATTCAGAGCATATTTAAGGATATCTTTATTCCATTTCTTTAGATTTACATACCATCATAGAAACCATTTCGAATTTCCAGAACCAATCAGATTTGGTTGACTGGAAACTTGTGGCATCAGATAGTACGTCAACCTAACATGACATCACCTACTTGTTACAGATTACTATTAACTTGTGTGTTAAAACAGATTATCCAATGTCATTGGCCAACAAAATTCTAACCAAATATGTTAGCTTCCACAATAAACATATCTACAAAGACAACTAACTCCCACAAATGCAGGTAGGCACTTCTTTAAAGAAAAAGATGAGAAAGTATCACAAGTGAATTGGAGATGAACTTCAAAAATCCGAGACTACATCTGGCTACTCCTAGTCATTTTTTCATAAAACTAAATACAACAGAAATCGCTGAAATGACAAATTCCACATAACAAAAATAAAATGGATAAAATAGTACGAGAGAATTGCCAAGGAATCCTAACTTCATCAACAAGCATTAACCGGAACAACGACAACTATTACAACAAGCCTTTATCCCACTACGTGGGTTTGGCTGATCAGGATAACTTAAAAACGACTTCAGGCAGATAATGTCATCCAGGAGGTACAATCTAACAATTTTCAAAAGGCTGCCAATTTTAATCATCTGTATTTGAACATAAATAAAGAGCACTGAGTCAGAGAACAGATGATTTGCAGGCAATTCTAAACAGATATCTATAAGGTGGTACACATACACACACATTAAGATAATGATTAGAGTAGTCAAGACCAAAAATGAATCTTAAAATGGTTTATAGAAGCACTGGAGCAGTAGAAATTTGACATTTGGCTCCACTGTAATCTTAAGTAATCAATAAATGCCAACTTCATCACAAAAAAGAGTTCTATCTGTAGCTATCTATATTCTAACAGATGAAACAGACAAACATTTGATATCATTTTGATGGATCACTAGGTACAATTCAAACATACGCTACATTCACTATATGCATCAATTCTTTTAGAGATAACAAGATAGGAAAAGGCCACACATATCTTATGAATTTACCTGCATAACCTATGCCATACATCTACCTGAAAAAAAGGATAAGTGCAGTACAAAAAAGTTCTAGTCCCCGAAGATCCCCCTATTTCACAAAGGTGAAAATTCCAAAGAAGTAATCTTACTTAGCTGATTTTAAAATTTTACATGAGCATGTAGCTTGTGCTTTCATCGATAGGGAAAACCAAAGATCTAACAACACATATAAACCCACCTAGGAGAAACTAAGCGCAGCTAAGATGCTTAATGTTAGTTTTGAGTCAACAGATAACAGGAACTAAATCCACACATCATTTACAAATAAACAGCCAGAGGTAACATTATGGTCTCCCAAAAAAAAAAAAAAAGAAAAGAAAAAAAGAGGAAAAAAGTCCAATTTATGATTCATTGCACGCATCAACCTTCACCCTAAAAAGCATTGAAGTTCTCAGATTCATGGACATTCATTATTTCCAAACCACCGCCTATGTATTATGTCTTCACAACAGCAGTACTTACAACATTTGACATAATCACAAATGACTTCTGAAAGTTAAATACTGTCCAAAAAACAACTGAGGAAAAAGGAAATATGAATGGAATCAAATCTTACATTTTTCCAAATTAAAATTAACGTAATGTCTGGTAAAGAAACTAAGGTAAGATAACACAGAAATCAATTGCACAAAACTCAGTTACAGTCATCAAAAATAAAGAGAGGTAGAAGAACTAATTAACAAGACCTGAATGCTGTAACAAACTGAAAAGATAAAGAAGCATAAGCACAGAATCTACTCAGACTTACCAGGAACCACTTTTGGAGGATCATCTTTCGCGTCGGGAGCAGATACATACTTCTGCCCTTTATACCAAACCCATCTAGGAGGCTTTGGAGTGTACAAACTCCCATCGGGCAAATTAATATAGAAACCGATGACATCACCTTCTTTGTACCCTTCTTCCCCATACTTCTCTCGGACAGCTTTATGCAGCTTCGTCCCATCAATATCTCTATAGCCAAAACTATTTGCATCATACCCAACAGGTGCCTGCAAATCTCCTTTGTCAGTAGACCATCCCAGCCTAGTATGCCCAGATTCCCCCAAATGCACAATCTTAATTTCAAAATACCATGCCCCTTCAACAACTCCTCTTGTAGCCCTCACCATTCTATACCCTTTAGTACTCCCAGCGCTCATCCTGTCGTCACTCAATTCCACTTTCTCGGCTTTATTAACCTTCGAAAGGCATATTTTCGCATCTGGGCTATCATCACTTTTATCAGGAAACCTTGGGGTGGGTGTAATCAAAACCTTATCCTCCAATTCACCTGCATTGTTCGTCTGAGCCCCATTACTATTGCCGTTGGTTTTGGCCTTCTTTTTCCCTTTACGCGAAGTAGGCCTCGTCCAAACATTATTATTCTTCTTCTTGGACTTCTTACTGCTCTTGGAAGACGGTTTTGCGGCCGTGGCAGTTGGCAAGGATGGATTTGAAGCTTCTCCGGCAACGGCTGCCGGGGTGGAGGGTGAAGGAACACCTGCATTTTCCCCAATATCGTCAGACTTCTGAGGGTTCTCCGGAGAAGCGGAGGCTAGTGAAGACAGCTGCCTCTGTTTCTTGGGTGGGGGCTCCTCCTCTTCTTCATCGTCTTCTTCGGTGTCGGAGACTCTTGTAAAATTCGGAGAATTCGTAGCATCATTTGGGGGTTTAGGGTATTCAATTCCTTTTTCGTGGATTTCGTCGGAGACTTCGTCAGAAGAGAGGTCTTCCGAAACCATTGCCGCTTCTTTCTCGTGGATTCCGGGGACGGTTGCCTCCTGCTTCGGGTCTTCCTCGGGGTTCGAAGGGCATTCACCGCCGTTGATTACTGTGTGTAGTTCTACAGTTTGAGGATGCCCGGAAACGGTAGGATCATCCTCGTACTTGTAAGAAGCCCTAAGGGAATCCATTGAAGAATAAATTGAATACTGTCGGAACTCGGAACTCAGTAAGAAGATTAAAAAGAGGATTACACAATGAAAACTATACATGTTTTAGTCTCTAGACTTTCCTTTATTGCAATTTCAGTCCTAAAGGAATTGTATGTCCTACTAAGGGGGAAATTTCCCAAAAAAAATTAATTAAAATAAACGTGGACAAATTTAAATTTTTCAGAATATTTGTGGACAGAACTATATTCCTCGGATTTCTGAAATCCGAGTTCTAATTAAAATTAAAGATTCGGATTTTGCAAATCTGAGTTTATATTTAATAATAAAATAATAATTAAATAAATTTTATTGAATAATAGTTTTTTAAAAATTCTTAAATGAACAGTGCAGGTCGGATTTGTGAAATCTGACTTTAATTAAAAATTAATAAATCGCGGCGCGAAATTTTTGAATCCAAAAACCGAAAGTCTGTAATCCGGTTTTATGAATTCGGATTATGGAAATCCGGCTGCCTTTAATTTTAGTTGGTGGAAGTAGGCATGTGCTATAAATTGGAAGACCAAAAAATGAATAAAATAATCCTGAATTGATTAAATCCGGATTCATGAAATCCGAAACTAATGTAATTCGGATTTCGAAAATCCGAGTTACTTACGGACTCGGATTTCTTAAATCCGAGTTTAACGTGCTATAAAAGAAAAAAAAATTCAGGCAGTTCTCATTCGAGAACTGAGTTAGATTTTCTGTTTTTGCAGCTCAAACAAGGGCGAATTGGAGCTTTTGATGCATTCTTGCCCCTAGATACGTGAAAATTGTTATTTGAAAGAGGTTAGATTGCAAAACCATGTTATTTAGTTTAGTTTTGTGTTATTTTGATTGTTAGAATGATGTATGATAGATTAGGGTTTATGTTGGTTGGTTGTTTGGATGTTTTAGGTGTTGATTTTGAGGTTAGAGATGAGAAATCATAGTTGTTCATGAGATATCAAAGTTGATTTATAAGTATTTTAGTATTTTATAGGTTTTTTGAATTATGAATGGAGTATGTATGGTGTATTTGTTGATTTTGTTATTAAGAAATGATTAGTTATTGATGTTTTTTTTAATAGTTATCAATGGCACGTAATGTATCATACATGCTTAATTTGTATCATACAAGTAAGTATGTGATAGAGAACGGTAGCATCAACACTTTTTTGAATATGCCGGATGATGGTTTGTTTGTCGAAGAAAGGTTGCCATATGAGGGATTGATTAGTAAGATTTGTATGACACTTGGTTGGGATCCAGCACACGTGAAACTCCACCTTTCTTTGATTTTCGATAGCCCCGGTGGTAGGCGTGTAGTGAAGATTAAGAATGATTCGCATGTAGAGTTCAGAAACCGTGTAGATCCAATGTCATGTTTGGATTTATACATAGATTTGGAAGATATCACTCAAGAAGAAAGAGAAGCGAGTTTGGAAAACGTGTCATTTGGTGGTTTTCCAAGGGGGGAACGTGCTAGTACTTCTCGAAACCGTGATAAAGAGGAGACACCTTTATTTGCACAAGATGACTACCGGGAAGAGTCGGATTCCGACTACATAGCTCCAAGTGAAAGCGAAGAAGACTGTGATGTCTCCGGAGAGAGTGATTTTGAAGAAAGATGGTGAAAGGTTGGAAAATGAGGAAAGGGATTGTAATCCATTGGCCCGACGCCATGTATATAGTAAGATGGGGAACTGGGATGCCTCATGTGTGGACAAGGATTAGTTTGCTTTTAAGATGTGGGATGAGACGCCCGAAGGAATGGACATTGGTGTTTGTTTCAAATCTCAATCAGAAGTAAAGCATGCTGTGAAATTATGGAACATCCATCATAAAAGGGAATATACGGTCGCCGCGAGTAGTCCAAGGACGTGGGCTGTGCGGTGCAGAACATTTAATGTGAAAAGTGAGGATGGTGAACCACTATGTGAGTGGAAGATGCGTGTGTCAGTGAAAGCTCACGGCCTTCATGAAATTGTGAGATGGCATGATACATATAATTGCATGACTCTCGTGAATGATAATGACAATCGGTGTGTGGACGCGTCTTTGATTGCTAGACTCATCAGGAGAAAGGTTGAGGACAACGTAGATTATACGGTAGCCTCGGCACAGAAAGATGTGAAGACCTTATTGAAAGTAGATGTGCCATACAAAAGGGCGTGGCACGGGAGGAGGAAAGCCATATAAGCGGTCTATGGTGATTGGACCTCGAATTTCGAAAAACTTCCACGGTAAATATCAACTTTTATCCGTGTATTGAAATATTTTTAGTGTTTTTCTTTTACATGTATTGAAATATTTTAACAATGACTTGTTGTTGTGTAGGTATATCGCTGCGCTTAAGTTTACTAATCCTGAGACTGTAGTAGAGTGGGAATGGAAGGAGGGACAAGAAGGTTGGAACAGGGGAAATAGGACATTTAAATACATCTTCTGGTCATTTGCACCGGTGGCTGAGACGTTTTTTGAATGTCCACCGGTCATTTGTATCGATGGAACCTTTTTGCGTGGTGGATACAAGGGTAAATTGCTTGTTGCGGTGGTCTATACCACAAACAAGAATATTTTACCGGTTGCATTTGCAATTGTGGATGAGGAGACAGTAGAGAGTTGGACATTTTTTATGAGGAATTTGAGGTTGTGGGTTGTGTATGATAGAATCGTAAGTGTGATATCCGACCGGAATGCAGGATTGTTGAGCGCAATGTCACAGATGATGAATGGCGTGATTTAGGTGATGGTGGCCACTTTCTTTGCCTCCGCCACGTTCGCAGCAATCTTGTGTCGCGATATAATAGCAAAAAGGTGAAGCGGTTATGTTGGAAGATGGGCACGACGCTTTCAAGAGTGAAATACAACCATATGAGGGCAGAGCTTATTGAATTCAAACCTGCTGCATGGGAGTATCTTCGAGGGATTGGAGGGAGTAACTGGGCTCGATTGAAAGCCGGTCTTCGCCGTTGGGGCATAGCAACCAACATTTCGAGGGATTTGAAGTTTTAACATTATTATTGCAATTTACTAGGTATGGGCGTATGAGCGGATCGAGAGGATCGCGCCACAAAGAAAAGGAGTAGATTATTTGATTGATGAGACCGCTCCATTAGCTCAGCAGTATGTATTTTCAGTTCAAAATAACTCAATATTTATTTCTATTTGTTTCTTATTCATTTATTTCACTAATTCAAATGTACCCCTTTGTTTATTAAGGTGGGAATGTAGGTACACCTACGGCGACGCCCCAAGGAGCAGCACTCCACCTTTTAGAGATCAATTAACAAGTCTGCGTGTTGAAGATGTAAGTACTTGTAATTTGGTATTTATATTTACTTTCAGATCAATTACCCCTTTCTTTTCGTTTCGGTTGTACCATTTAATGAAATTCTTTTCGTGTTGTTTCGGTGGCAACCATATGCACATGTCCTTCATAGACTCCCTGATTTCTGTACACAAGGCCAAGCCATTTGGACGACCAGGTGTTGGATGTTCTGTTGGACTATTAGGGAACCCCACGAGTCGGGCAGAGTCGTAAGACAATTTGGATACATACAGGATGTTCCCAAGCGCCCCATGATTAAAGATAATGCAGCATTCCTTCTCGATCACGCCCACAGTATGTCTGGGTATCCTAGCAATAATTGGGTGGACCACCATTCCGTAGTACGTCGTCATTTGAATAGGAGAGAAGAGTACGTGCTACGAGATTTGGAGGAAGGAGATCCTGGTTCCACATATGAGGGGTACTATGAATGGTTCATGGTGAACACTGTCAGACTGATATCCAATCCCGGTAATTATGAACCTCAAGGATACGAGACTTCTTCGAGCCGCGTGAAATTATATGTGAGTTCATTCTAGATTTCTTTTATTATTTCTTATGTTTTCATTTTATTTTTTTTTTCATTTTTATTTTGTTAGAATTTTACTCTCTTAATTAACGTCCCAATTTCTTTTCAGGGTGAAGTATTGAACAACATTCGCGTGAGTACCGAGAGGTTTAGAGAAAAACGAGAAGATGATAATCTCCTAGACGAAGAACTCGATAAGCATTTGGACGATATCATCAATTAAACACATGCTGCTTTACCCTTGGGCGCAAATGATGAGATGGAGGTGGAGGATACCCAAATCCTGGTTGATGAAGATCCATCTTTGCCCTCACAACCTCCGGCGGGTAAAAAAGCAAAACCGTGGTCGAGAGATAAGATTGGAGGAGGAAGAAAGAGGAAGGTCACAATCCCCCCTCGGACATCGCAACAACAAACTGAGGGTCAACAAAATGAGGATCAAGCACATTCTTCTCGAGGCTCGCGCATCCAGGTCTAGACTCATTTTGAAGACACTGGTGGACTCGAGACTCAGTTTGACCTTGGTGGACCCGAGACTCAGTTTGGTGGACAGTCGCAACCACAACCGGGAGTCAAATTTCTCACCATGGGGGAGTCCCAATCCCAACCCCAACTCGAGGCTCAATTTGGTGGACAGTCGCAACCACAACAGAGTTCAATACTCACGTATCTTAAGAGGGGAGACAGGATCCGGCAGGACCCAAACAAATACACTCCGGATGCGCACAATAAAGGAAAAGGGAAAAAATGAGACATTTGATGTATTTTGCACATTTAAAGTAGTTTTTGTATTGATTTTTGTATGAAACTTAATTTGTTTTGTTGTTAATCGAATACCGTTTATTGTTTGTTGCCATTAAATTTTTGTTTTCCAATGTTTCATTGTTGTTGGTGCTGTAAACAGGTTTAGGACTGGTGAAAATCAGTCCAATTTTTTTTTCAGTTCTGACAAAGACTCGGATTTGCGAAATCCGAACTCAGACTTTTTGGATTCGGATTTCGAAAATCCGAGTCTGTAGCCAACTGAGAGTCCCCATTTTTCAGAAAACAGAGGAGATTCGGATTTCGGTAATCCGAGTCTACGTATATTTGGATTATCGTGATCCGGTTTTTCCCAAATTTAATTTTTCAACACATTTTTTTCTCTATCCGGAAATTAATATTTTATTCATAAATACGGATTTATAAAATCCGGATTTAGATTAATTATA